TTTATAATCGAGGGTACCTTAGCCCCTATTTTGGGCTGTGAGCAGGGGGAACATCCCAACCTACGCCCCCTAAACCCTAAACCCTAAACCCTAAACCCTAAACCCTAAACCCTAAACCCTAAACCCTAAACCCTAAACCCTAAACCCTAAACCCTAAACCCTAAACCCTAAACCCTAAACCCTAAACCCTAAACCCGAAGACACCCTTCTTCAGGCCAATGATCGGGCCATGCTGCAAGAGCTGCAGTCGGCGGCCAGCATGGACTCACCCAAGGATCCCAGTTCCCTTTTGTTTAAGGATGGGAGGTTTGCCCTTAAACCCTAAACCCAAAACCCTAAACCCTAAACCCTAAACCCTAATCCCTAAACCCTGAACCCTGAACCCTAAACCCTAAACCCTAAACCCTAAACCCTAAACCCTGCAGAACCTGGACCTCAAGCTGGAGCGGGAGATGGCCGACGTCTTCGGGCCCTCCCCGGCCCCACGCGTCGAGGCGCCGCTGAGCTGGCGGCCGCCGCGGCCGGAGGTGGATTTTATGGGTTTAGGGTTTAGGGTTTAGGGGTTTAGGGTTTAGGGGTTTATAGGGTTTAGGGGTGTTTAGGGGAGTAGGGGTGTAGGGTTTAGGGGTTTATGGGTTCAGTGTTTAGGGTTTAGGGTTTAGTGTTTAGGGTTTAGGGGTTTAGGGGTTTAGGGGTTTAAGGGTTTAGGGGTTCAGGGGTTCAGGCCCTGAGCTGCACCTGAGAAGGACCGACGGCGTCACTCGGACTCGGCGCTGCCCCCGGAGCCCTTGAGCAGCAGAGGGCCATGGCCCACTGAGAGGCGGTTGGGTTTGGGGTTTGGGGTTTATGGTTTCGGGTTTAGGGTTTAGGGTTTAGGGTTTTGGGTTTAGGGTTTAGGGTTTAGGGTTGAGTGTTGAGGGTTTTCTTCTCCCGACTTGGGGTGAAGAGGGTTCCCTCAGCCCCTATACCTCAAGGACCCTGAACCTCGAACGAACCCAGAAGACCCGCGCCATTTTGGGTCGAAGGCGTTGGCTTCAGGGTACCTGCAGGTTCTTAGTAGGCAATTCGGGAAGCAGGTACCTCATATATGTATATGTATATATGTTTTCTAAAATATGTATATATATATATCTAGAGAGAGAGAGAGGGAGAGAGAGAGAGAGAGAGAGAGAGAGAGTCCTGTAAAGTAAAGACCCAGCACGCTTAGCAGGCATGGCAGCCAGGCAATCTGTTGCATGGGCGGATAACACCACTCATAAACAGTATATGAATTCCTGTGCAAAAAAACCCTACACCAGAAAAGTAATCATAGCAATATACTAATACACTCATATAGCATCATAGCAGCATAAGACGAAAATATCACGTTGCTGCGAGCAGTCCGCTGCGAGCTGCGAGGCGTTCCGCGTCCGCGCAGCCGAGCGCCGATCGCTCGGATCCCGGCTCCAACTTGTTGGCTCCTCCCAGCGCGCGGTGGGCAGCCGAGCCCTCGCTGGGAGACTTGGGTGGGCACTTCTTGGAAGATGTTTTTTATGATTCTCCCCTCTTGTTGGGTTTTCAGAGGAGAATATAAAGTATTTAAAGGGTTTTTTAGGAGCAACCTAGGAGACACCAGGGCCTCGTCCGCGGAGCCGCGGCCGCCCCCGACGCCGTCCAAGGTGAGGGGCCGCGAGTTTGGCTCGAGCAGCCTGAACCAAGCTGCTCGCGCGATGCTCCACTGCTAGACCCTGGTTCTCAGGAAGCATGCTTCAACCCCTGCTTCCCCCCAGAACCCCAAGATCTAGCAGGGCTCAAGAGTGGCCTGGAGTCCTAAAACCCAGTCCATGGCGGGAACGCAGGCCATGTGACGGAGGATGATGGATCCCATTGTGTGGTTCCTATTGTGGGGTGGTGCAGGGTTTAGGGTTTAGTGTTTTGGGGTTTGCGTACACAGGCGTTCGTACACAGGGGTCATGATTAGGGGTACAGGCGGCATAGGGGCCAAGCTGGAATCGTTTTTGCATTCACATGGCCAGTTTTGAAGGTAGACCCGACACCTCGTACACCTAAACCCTAAACCCTAAACCCTAAACCCTAAACCCTAAACCCTAAACCCTAAACCCTAAACCCTAAACCCTAAACCCTAAACCCTAAACCCTAAACCCTAAACCCTAAACCCTAAACCCTAAACCCTAAACCCTAACCCTACACCCTAAACCCTAAACCCTAAACCCTAAACCCTAAACCCTAAACCCTAAACCCTAAACCCTAAACCCTAAACCCTAAACCCTAAACCCTAAACCCTAAACCCTAAACCCTAAACCCATAAACCCTAAACCCTAAACCCTAAACCCTAAACCCTAAACCCTAAACCCTAAAGCCTAAACCCTAAACCCTAAACCCTAAACCCTAAACCCTAAACCCTAAACCCTAAACCCTAAACCCTAAACCCTAAACCCTAAACCCTAAACCCTAAACCCTAAACCCTAAACCCTAAACCCTAAGCCCTAAACCCTAAACCCATAAACCCATTCACCCTAAACCCTAAGCCCTAAACCCTAAGCCCTAAACCCTAAACCCTGAACACCTTCAACCTTTATCTTGGGGTTCAGGAGGCCGGGAGAATTGGGCGCATGCTTGCCGCAGAGCCGGGGGAGTCGCACGCCGGCCTCAAAAAGACTTTGGAGGTTGGGCTCTCCCTAAACCCTAAACCCTAAACCCTAAACCCTAAACCCTAAACCCTAAACCCTAAGCCCTTTTAGGGCTTTAGGGCTTTTAGGGCTTTTAGGGCTTTTAGGGCTGTTAGGGCTTTTAGGGCTTTTAGGGCTTTTAGGGCTTTTAGGGCTGTTAGGGCTTTTAGGGCTTTTGGGGCTTTTAGGGCTTTTAGGGCTTTTAGGGCTTTTAGGGCTTTTAGGGCTTTTAGGGCTTTATAGGGCTTATAGGGCTTTTAGGGCTTTTAAGGGCTTTTAGGGCTTTTAAGGGCTTTTAGGGCTTTTAGGGCTTTATAGGGCTGTTTAGGGCTTTAGGGCTTCAGGGCTTTTAGGGCCTTAGGGCCTTATAGGGCTGTTTAGGGCTTAGGGGCGTTAGGGTTGCAGGGTTTTAGGGTTCCAGGGGTTTAAGCGGCTTTAAGGTTGAAGGGTGCAGGGCTTCTTCCAGGTTGCAGTTGTTGCTTGGTCTAGGTCTTCTAGGTAGGCCCTGTGATATGAAGATGCATACAGAAAGATGATGTATTGGGGCATATACTGCATAAACATATAGGGCGTAGGGTAAACCTATAAACCCTGTAGGAAGTAAGCCTAAACCCTAAACCCTAAACCCTAAACCCTAAACCCTGAACATTGAACCCTGAACCCTGAACCCTGAACCCTGAACCCTAAACCCTAAACCCTAAACCCTCTATTTGGGGAAGCCCGGCGTTTAGGGACCATGGACCTGACAGCCACAAGGAGCGGAGGTCGAACATTAGCTGCACGCGGTTGATCCTTTTCCTGTTGTTTTTGGTTTATGGTTTAGGGTTTAGGGTTTAGGGGTTTAGGGTTTAGGGTTTAGGGTTTGGGGGGGGGGATGGCTGCCTTCTGTGTTCAGGGTTGAGGGTTGAGGGTAAGTGGAGTGGGTTTTGCAAGGCTTATGCTCAGTTGTTGTTTTCAGGGGGTTGGAAGGGCAACCTGGGAGGTTTAGATTGGATCAACCGCGAGGATGTACAGATCAACTATGATTCGTTGCCCAGATCTTCCAATAGGCCCTTAATCAAGGCACATTCCTCTTTTAATATTTTCACAGATCCTGATAGAATTCTAGGGAATATTCCTTCATTGAGGGCTCTTGGAAGATCTGGGTGTTATTGCACGCTCCGCCCCGGACGGATGATCTCACCTTTCTGGGTGCGCGTTCCGTCCATCGTACTGCAACTACGTACGCCTTGATCTCCAACAGATTCCCTACGCCCTACCTTCAACCCCAAACCCTAAACCCCTACCTACAACCCCAAACCCTAAACCTCAAAACACCTAAGGCCCCGAACCCTAAACCCTAAGCCCCAAAACCCGACAACCCGAGCCTGGAGCCCAACAAATTTGGCCCAAGCCAACGAGACCCCGAATTCGTCGTCGTTGTGCCCTGCTGAAGCAGGCGCGGCAATGCGCTAGCAGCTAGTCGCTTTCGGAGGAATGCTCACAACGGTACTCGCGAAAGATCGGTGTCGGTTGAACCCTGAACGCTAAACCCTAAACCCTAAGCCCTAAACCCTAAGCCCTAACCCCTAAACCCTAAACCCGAAACCCTAAACCCTCAAACCTAAACCCTAAACCCTAAACCCTAGAGCCTAGAGCCTAGAGCCTAAACCCTAAACCCTAGAACCCTAGAACCCTAGAACCCTAGAACCCTAGAACCCTAGAACCCTAGAACCCTAAACCCTAAACCCTAAACCCTAGAACCCTAGAACCCTAGAACCCTAGAACCCTAGAACCCTAGAACCCTAGAACCCTAGAACCCTAAAACCCTAAACCCTAAACCCTAAACCCTAAACCCATTGAAGGGTTGCGGGCATGCCAATTTCGCCCCAGAAACCCAGAACCCCAACAAGCCCTCTAAGCATTTTAACCCGCAACGACACCCTGCAAGCCCGGTACCGAATCCTGAGGCAGGCTCTTGGGACGCTTTACATTTTCCCTTATTGGTTCAAGAGGATCATATTCAAGAATATTTTTCAGGGGATTTTAGGCAAGGGCCACAAGGCACAGTGGCAATTTTGAGAGGCGGAGGCGTCGGCCAAAGCCAAAGCCCAAAGCCTAAACCCTGAACCCTGTGGGTTGTAGGGTTTTTAAGATTTAGGGGGGGGGGGGGGTTGGGGTCTTAGGGTTGAGGGTGCTAAACCCTAAACCCTAAACCCTAAACCCTAAACCCTAAACCCAAAACCCAAAACCCAAAACCCTAAACCCTAAACCCTAAACCCTAAACCCTAAACCCTAAACCCTAAACCCTAAACCCTAAACCCTAGACCCTCAGCCTCAAAGAACGAGCAGGTTCCACACCGACAACGGCATCCCTGGGTCCTCTGACTCAGCTGCTTTAGGGTTTTTTTTGGGTCTCAGGGTTTAGGGTGTAGGGTTTAGGGCTTAGGGCTTTAGGGTTTAGGGTTTCAGGGTTTAGGGTTTAGGGTTTTAGGGTTTAGGGTTTAGGGTTTCAGGGTTTAGGCTTAGGGTGTTGGGTGTTTGTTGGGTTGTAGGGTTCAGGGTTTAGGCTTTAGGGTTTTAGGGTGTTAGGGTTTAGAGTTTCAGGGTTTAGGTTTTAGGTTTTACGGGTTTAGTGGGTTTAGGGTTAAGAGTGTGGGGGTTTAGGGTTTTAGGAGCTTTGGGTTTGGGGTTTAGGAGTGTAGGGGTTAGGGTTTTAGGGCATTGGAGTTTGGGGTTTCGGGTTGAGTGGATTTTAGGGTTTAGGTTTTTTAGGGTTTTAGGGGATTTGGGGTTTTTGGGCTTTAGCAGGTGTAGGGGTTTTGGGGTTTAGGGTTTTGGGGGTTTTCGGGGCTTTCGGAATTTTTAGGTCTTTAGGTGGCGTCAACCGCGACCCATGCGGAGCGCACATTGCCGGGAAGCCTCAATGGGGGGCAGTCCTTCGTCAGCATGAACCTTTTTCCCCAAGAGTGGTGCAGTCCACGGCATGGCCGTGTGGCGGCAAAAGCCTGAACAGCCTGAAGTCTTCGTTGACGTTGCCTTGGGCGTGCCGCGCCAGAACAGGTAAAGAAAGCGCCCTTCTTAGGCGGCGCGCGCCGGCAACTCGTGGATGGCGCTGCCGGGTAAGTGCAAGATGTGTGAAACTTGGTGTGGGTAATTGGGGCGGAAAAACAAACTTTAGGGTTTTAGGGGTTTTAGGGCTCTAGGGCATTAGGGACTCAGGGGTTTGAGGGTTTTAGGGTTTTACGGCATAAGGGGGCTTTTGGGATTTTTAGGATTTTAGGAGGGTTTTAGGGTTTTCGAAACTGGGGTTTTCAGGGTTTCAGGCATTTTTGTTTGGGGGTGGGCGGGGTGGGGGGGGGGGGGGGGGGGGGGGAGGGGGTTAGGTTAAGTTTTTAGGGTTTCAGAGTTTGGGCTTTCAGGAGTTTGGCTTGGGGATTCTCGGGTTTTAGGAGAACTTCAGGGTTTTTATGACGAGTTAAGGCTTTCAGGGTTTCAGGGTCTTAGAGGAGGTTGGGGTTCGGGTTGGGGTTTTGGGTTGTAGGGTTGCAGGAGGGTTGAAGTGACAGGTTTAGGGCTTCATGGAGCTTGAGGGCGTCGGGGTTTAGGGTTTTGGGGTCTGGGGCTTTTAGGGCTTTTAGGAGGGTTTTAGGGAGTACCCTAAGCCCCCCAAAAAGCCCAAAAACCAAAACCAAAACCCAAATCCGCCACCCTACGCCCCCTTCACCCCTAGCCCGAATGTTTCAGACCCCCCAAAAGATCTCTGGCCCCACAGCCCTGAACCCTAAACCTCCAGCCCCAAACCCGCAAACTGGCCGGTGGCCAGGTCGCACGTGACCATCCGCGCGCCCGTTGGGGAGGTCGGCGACGAGGCCCTCGAGGTTTAGGGTTTGGGGTGTAGGGACGTGGCTCCATTCTTCACTTCTGCGTTCTTCTACTTGAAGGTTCATGGGTAGTTAGAAGTAGGGTTATAAGTCGGGTAGCATATGCGTATATTATGACCTTAATTAAGCTGCTTCTAACCCTACTTATAACTACCCATGAACCTCAAGTATGAACTAAGACGCCCGGTAGTACGGTTTCATGTATGCTCAGCAAAGGTCAAAGCGTGTGAGTCAACCTTTTGGTAGGTGGGAGCTGTTGACTGGAGAGTGCACTTGGATGCTCATGGTACTTATGACCAATTCTTTCTGTGCTTACAGCCCAGCCCCTTAAGTGCCCTAATATGGTTTTTTATTACAGCTATAAGTACAGTTCTAATTGGTTAACAAGTACCATGAACCTCCAAGCAGCCTTTGTCCCACGCTGCCCATGGGGGGTGTTGGCCTTTGGCCCAATGGCCTTTGTAGCTGTTGTGACATATTCTTACTATTTAACACGAGGCTCTTTCGCTTCAGGAACCTAGTGCAAGCTGATCACACCCTTCTTCCCGAAAGGACATCGAGTTTGCAGCCGCCGTGGCCGCTTGGCATTCGAAGGCGGGTGGCGACATGTTCGAATCTAAATGCGGCCCTAAGCCCTGAAACCCTGAAACCCTGAAACCCTGAGCCCTAAACCCTAAACCCTAAACCCTAATCATATAAGAAAGCTGGTGGCCAGGTGGGCGTGGGTCTTACTTGCATTGTGTTTGGGCTGCCGAAGAATTTTTTTGGATGCGCAGCATTGTCTGGGCAGAGTGGGGTTCCAAGGACGCCGGGGGTGGGTGGGCCCTCACCTCCTTTTTGGGGCACTAGGGTTTAGGGTTTAGAGTTTAGGGTTTAGGGTTTAGGGTTTATGAAGAGGTTGCATTCTTTGCCTTATGGGTTACTGGGAGCCTTGCGAAGTCCTGGGCCCTTCTGTGGATGCTGAGAGCCCCTGGCGACTTCCGTCGTAGCGTAAGAGAGCAGATGCGCAGGCAAGCGATGCGCGTGGGGCGGAAGGGGACTCTCCCTTCAATCGTTCTTCAATTTGCGGTCCTGTCCTCATTGAGGGTATAAGTCAGGGTCCGGGGTCTCTGGGCTCATGGGGACAGAGACGCTGGAGAAGTTCGACGAGAAAGGGTTTCGTTTAGGGTTTTGGGCTTCAAGAACTCAGAGACGCCAGGCTAGAAGCCCAAGATGCTACATCCCGAAAACCCTCGAATTTCAAGGCCCAAAGGGCTTGAAGGTTTTTGGGTTTAGGGTGTAAGAAGCCCTGATCCAGCTCCCCTCAGCTTGGTCTGCAAGCTTGGTCTGCAGGCCCGGGAGAAGCTTTACGCGCCAGTCATGTACTGCCAGGCTTCGCGGAAGCCGAAAAACGCCCGCGAGAATGCCACACCCTAAACCCTAAGCCGCCTTAAGTCCTAAATCCAAAACCCAAGCTGGCCCCAAACCCTGAACCGTAAACATAACTACGCCCCAACAAAGTTTTAGGGATGTTTAGGGGTTGTAGGGTTTAGGATTGCTTGGCCTGCGGGGGGTAGGGCTTAGGGTTTCAAAGTGAAAGGCGCATGAGTGACCGTCATCTAGGCCGGGTTCTGTGTTTAGTTCGAGCATATACACGTCCTGGACCTTCAGCGAAACCCTAAACCCCTTAATCTCTTGCTCTTCCGGAGAAGACCATCGGCGCTTCCAGCCGAAGCCACCTTGAATTGACCCCACCAAGTCACGAGCCGCGAAAAGCCCACCAAGCCAATCCTAAAACCCTTAGCCCTAAACTCCAAACGCTAAACCCCAAACCCTAAACCGTAAATACTAAACCTTAAACCAAGACGCTTCGGAGGGCTCCAGGGACACCCGAAGGGCCCCGGCCCACCCAAAGACTGGCGGGCTCTTAGAAGGGAATGAGGGAATGAGGGAATGAGGGAATGAGGGAATGAGGGAATGAGGGAATGAGGGAATGAGGGAATGAGGGAATGAGGGAATGAGGGAATGAGGGAATGAGGGAATGAGGGAATGAGGGAATGAGGGAATGAGGGAATGAGGGAATGAGGGAATGAGGGAATGAGGGAATGAGGGAACTACACCCTATAAACCCTATAAACCCTAGACCCTAAACCCTAAACCCTAAACCCTTTTGTCTACCCTTCAAGGGATTACGTCGGGTAAAGAAGTCCCAAATTCCCTTGTAAGAATCAGGGGGAAGATACCCTAAGCCCTCAACCCTATATAAACCCTAAACCCTAAACCCTAAACCCTAAACCCCAAACCCCAAACCCTAAACCCTAAACCCTACTGAGAACCAGGGGGAAAATCTCCTCTGCTTGGCAGGGCTACCAGCTCCGGAAGCCGGCAAGGTCCGCCGCCAAGTGCAGGGCCGGTGGGTTTTTGGTGGCCCTAGAGGCCCCCGAACCCTAAACCCTACAACCCCACAACCCTACAACCCTACAACCCTGCAACCCTACAACCCCACAACCCTACAACCCTACAACCCTGAAACCCTAAAACCCTACAACCCTAAAACCCTAAATCCTTAAAGCCCTAAAGCCCTAAAACCCTAAAACCCTAAATCCTTAAAGCCCTAAATCCCTAAAGCCCTAAAGCCCTAAGGCCCTAAAGCCCTAAAGCCCTAAAACCCTAAAGCCCTAAATCCCTAAAGCCCTAAAGCCCTAAACCCTCCCATTCGGCTGTTTTGGGGGTCTTTCCTCAGCGAGCGCAGGCGGCGAACTGGCCAAGTACAGGTCTCTGGCAACTACCAGCAGATCGATGTGAGGTGCTTTTGAGGTTTAGGGTTTTAGGGTTTTAGGGTTTAGGGTTTTAGGGCATAGGTGCTGCAAAGTTGTGCTGGGATTGGGGGTTTTGGGCTTTAGGGTCTAGGGGTTTTGGGGAACTCTGAAGCATCTTTCGGCCTTCCTCCTCAACTTCTTGCAGGGCTCAGTGGCTCAGTCACCTCAAGACCAAGAAGTCCCCACTTACTTTTTTTTGTTTTTTTTTCTCTGTCTCTCTCTCTCTCTCTCGCTCTCTTTCTCCCGTTGCCTGCAAACACCCTAAACCCTGAACCCAAAGAATCCGATAAAACGCTTTTGCTACAACAGTTGAGTACGGAGGTTCCTGAGGTGGGCGCAGCCCTAACTCCCAGGCTGCGCTGCCACTCCACAGACCTCCGGCCTCTGCGCAGTGTCCTTAATAACTTTAGGGTTTAGGGTTTAGGGTCTATTTTTCATTATGTTCTGTTTTATAGTCTTGCAATGTAGTATTCTACATTATAATAGTCCCATATCATGGTGGTAAGATGTCCGAAGACTACTCCGCAGACGTTGGTCGACACAGATCCCCAGAATTCTCCGCTCGTCCTGAAACTAGGTTCACCAGTGTGGGACCCTTTGTCGCCCCATTCTTTCAGGTGAGGTTCGTTTTAGGGCTAGGGTTAGGGTTTATAGGGTTTAGGGTACACCAGTTTCTACGAACTGGTTCCGAGCGCGACAGGCCTGCACTTCCAGATTCGTGACAGCCGGCACAGACCCTTGTCGCGGCGCATTTCTCCGAAAAAGCTCGCTCGATCTTCATCGGGGAATGTGGGGAACCAGGGTTCCCATGATAGGAAAGAGATCCAGGTACCTGATTCCCGAGCCCCTGTTCGCCAAAACCCTAAACCCTGAACGCCTTCAGGGCCCAGTCCCCAAAGACTGCGAAGCTCCGAGGGTCCTAAGCCCAAACTCTTAGATCGTACCTCCGAAGCCCCTAAATGACACCTCCTGAACGCCTGAATCCTGCATTCCCATATTAGAAAAGATTAACGTTGTGAACCTACGCCCTCACTCTAAACCCTGAGGTTCGCAACCCGAAACCCTAAACCCTAAACCCTCAACCCTAAACCCTAAACATCCCTAAGCCCGAATCCCTAAACCTGAAACCTTAACCCCCTAAGGTGGTATCCCTTCTAATTCGAAGCGCCCTCAGGAGGGAGCCTTATTCAGAAGAACTGACGCCCCCCTGTGTCCCCCGCAGTCCAAGCGCTTACGTAGGAATCTTCGGCGACCTACCAAAAAACAATGCTTCGGTTCTTGAGGTCGGGTTTTGGGCACCTAAACACTAACCCCTAAGCCCTTAGCCCTAAACCCTAAACCCTAAATCCTATACCCTCAACCCTAAACCCTCAACGGTCTTAGAGGTTGTTTTCCGCATCCGGGCTTGCAGCGGCACGCGCGGACAACAGCCACCACAGAGCGCAGCGCGCGCCTCGAGAAGCCCTTTGTGCCATGAAGCGACCCTGGGATGCATTTTAAACCGCGTTTTTTCTTTTTTTGGGTTAGGGTTTAGGGTTTAGGGTTTAGGGTTTAGGGTTTAGGGTTTAGGGTTTAGGGTTTAGGGTTTAGGGTTTAGGGTTTAGGGTTTAGGGTTTAGGGTTTAGGGTTTAGGGTTTAGGGTTTAGGGTTAACGGTTTGGGGCTTGCAGTAATTATGGGTCAGGTTTAGGTTCAGGGCTTTATCCAGCAGGTGTACAGGGTTTCTGGTTTGATGCTTGTTGGATCCATTGGGCGCCTAAACCCTAAACCCTAAACCCTAAACCCTAAACCCTAAACCCTAAACCCTAAACCCTAAACCCTAAACCCTAAACCCTAAACCCTAAACCCTACTGAGGACCGGCCACCAGCGCGGCGGGCGCGGCCCTGAAGAAGCCGGCAGGCAAGATGGTCTCCCTGGAGTTCCCGAAGCTTTGGCTGGCGGGTTCAGGGGGTTAGGGTTTAGGGTTTAGGGTTTAGGGTTTAGGGTTTAGGTTTAGGGTTTAGGGTTTAGGGTTTGGGGGTTAGGGGTTAGGGATACTTGAAGGTTCATGGGTAGTTAGAAGTACGTCGGGTGTTAAGACTGGCAGCCATGTGTGTCGCCTTACTTCAGGCACTTAGAACCCTACTTACAACTGCCCTAAACCCTAATCCCTAAACCGTAAACCCTAAACCCTTAACCCTTCAAGTACGGGCTCAGAGGCTTCAGGGTTGAAAGGCGTCTGGGGCAGGGTTGAGGGTTTGGGTTTTGGGGCACTACCCTCCCTCGTGAGCTCTTTGGGATAATTTCAGGAAGGGTTTAGGGTTTAGGATTTAGGGCTAGGGCTTAGGCATGTCTCCAAGCGCTGTGAGGCACTCAAGTGCTGGGGTTGACTTGGAACAAAGTTTCACTGTTCTATTGACCCTAGTCCGAACATAACCCTGTAAACCCATAGAACCTATATTTTTAGTAGGCCCCAGTGAAGATGTTTTAGGGTCTCAGTCTTATGGATCTGATTGGGCTTTAGTTTTTCAGGTCTCTCAAGCCGTACCCACCGAAATCACACCTAAAGCCCTGAGCCCTAAACCCCACCTGTAAAGCCCTTGGAGTCTAAGGAAGGGCTTCATATGGGGCAGCGCCACAGCGGCGTACCAAATCGAGGGTGCAGCGTTCGAGGGTGGGCGCACTGCCTGCCGCGGGGATGGAAGAAGGACAGGCATGTTTAGGGATTAGGGATTAGGGTTTAGGTTTTAGGGTTTAGGGTTTACTCATCAGGGGATAGTGTCCTTCAGGTAAGCCTTCATACCCTCAACACTTAACCCTAAACCTGTAATAAGTCATGCTTGCAAACTCCAAGCCCCGTTCAGCTCTAAACGCCATAGTGTTGTGCGGGTGTACTAGGGGGTACCCCTGTGTGGGAGAATGCCCATATAAACTATGCAACCTGCCCATTCTCATGAACCATGCGCCATATCCCTAAACTCTAAACCCTAAACCCTAAACCCTAAACCCCAAAACCCCAAACCCCAAATCCCAAACCCCAAACCCCAAACCCTAAACCCTAAACCCTAAACTTCATTGGTTCTGCTTTTCAAGGTTAAGGGCGTCGTAGGATCCAAATCCCTAAACCCTAACCCTCTAGGATTTAGGATTTAGGACCCCTAAAACCCCTTAGCTGCAGAAGGCCCAAACAAGACGTATTTAAGACGTAAGGGTCGCAGTCCATCTCAGACTGTCAGGCGTTGTTGTTTTCTTGTTGTTTCGGGTTTAGGATTTAAAGACCCATATTCTTAGGTCAGCTGGATTTCAGCACCCGCCATCACTGGACCACCAAAATGTATACAGATGTATCCACGAGCCGAAGATGGTGAAACCGCAAGATATTATTGCATCCTAAACCCGAAGCCCTTCAACCCTGCAGTTACCCGAAAGCATAAACCCCTGGGCCCTAACCCCTAAAAACACCCCGAACCCTAAAAGCCCCTAAAAGCCCCTGGACGCCCCTAAAAGCCCCTAACCCCTAAACCCCCAAACCCTAACCCCTAAACCCTTGAACCCTAAACCCTAAACCCTAAACCCCAAACCCTAAGCCCCAAACCCTAAACCCCAAACCCTAAACCCTAAACCCCGCCAAGGCATCTGGGACACCTTCTGCGCCCAGGAGGGGAAGGCTGGGCTTGGTTCCTGACTAGGTGGGACTTTACTACAACTTTATCACTTTATAAGCTTAGGGTTCCTCTAATTTCATATTAAGGGAGCTAAAAGTTAAACTTTATCACTTTATAAGTTTAGGTTTCATATTAAGGGAGCTGAACGTTAAACTTTTATTGGGGGGGGGGGGCTAAACAGCAACCAAGCTGATATCTGTGCGGATCCCCAAAAAGGGACCATCATTTTGAGAGCTGACCATATATATATATATATTATATATATATGTAGCTTAAGCTCATGTTTAACACAATATATGTACATATGTATAGTTGTTTGTATACATATGTTTAGATAGATTGCGCATAGATAGGCACGGGAACTTTTTCAAACTAAGGTCCTCTTCATAGTTCTCTCCTCCTTCCACCCCCCCCCCCCCCCTCCAAAGTCTGGTAGAACCCCATTCAAACCCTAAACCCCGCGGTGGGGGCCCTGGGCCATGGGAAATCCAAAGCAGGGAGTCCTGAACCAGGACATCCACGATCATCTGGTTGTTAAGGTGTGGGCCGCAAAGTACCCAGAATAATAGTCCCACACCCGCATTTAGGACAGCATCGCGAATGTGGTCAATGTTGTTGAATATGCACGGAGAGGCACTGACCGCTTACCTCGAAAGCACCAGCCTCGTGAGCTCAACTACTACGAGTTTTGTTGCAGTCTTCACCCGGCTTTCTTTTAAGATTGTCTGAGTCAACAGGCATCCGGCCGAGCCCTCAACCCTGAACCCAAAACCCCGAACCCCAAGCGCCCAAACACCCAAGCACCCAAGGGAGCGATTGCTGCCGACTGTGACGATAAAGCCCTCAATGCCTCAAAGCCTCAACGCCTCAAGCGGCACGTAGAGGGTTCATGGGCGGCTAGAAGTGGGGTTATAAGTGCCTTACTTAAGGTTGCCAGGTATAGGCTACCCTACTTAGAACCCTAAACCCTAAACCCCAAACCCTAAACCCTGACCCCTTCACGGCTGCTGCCTCGCACCGCCCATAAAACCCGAAGCCCTCAGGTGAAGAATGGGGACAATGGCACCACGGCTTGCGATCACTACCACCGCTTCAAAGAAGATGTGAAGCTGATGAAGGCCAGAACATGTTTAGGGTTTAGGCTTTAGGGCTGAGGGTTGAGGGTTTAGGGTTTAGGGCTTCGGCTTTTGGATTTGTAGGGTTTAGGGTTGGCTTGCTGGTTTGTTGTGTGGAATATCGGAGGTAGGTGCACTACTACACTACATCGTGCCTTCAGGGGTGGTATAAACATAGACACCCGCACATGTGCTGGTTTGTTGTGTGGAATATCGGAGGTAGGTGCACTACTACACTACATCGTGCCTTCAGGGGTGGTATAAACATAGACACCCGCACATGTGTATACACACATATATATATGTATGTATATATAAAGGGGGGGAGTTACCTGATGGGGGAATTAGCCACCCCCCCCCCCCCCCCCCCCCCACCCCCTTGCTGCCCTTATTGCAGGGTCATTTCGGGGCTCTGATCTGCTCCTAAATTGGATCACTTTTGAGCCACAGGTTGTAGGGTTAGTTCAAACCTTCACCTTCCCCCCCCCCCCCCTCCACTGAGCCACACACATCACCCGCAACAGCTTGCTCCATGTCCGAGACCTTGTCGCACAGAACTTCCTGCACCTTCAAGCCCAAAAACCCTAAGCCAGAGACCCTAATCCCCAAACTCCGCAACTCAGACTGTAAACCTAAGACTGCCAAAGCCGCGCCAGCCTAAACCACCAAGCCCTAGCCCCCTCTAAGCCTCTCTTTAGAATCCCCCTTTAAAAACAAAGTTACAACCCGAGGCTGTTAAAGAACCTTTTACAGACCCCCCCCTTCTTTCAAGCCCATCTACACCCCAAACCCTCAACCCCACCCGTGTAAAGACGCCGTTTCTAGTGCTCAGCCCTTTTTTTCTCCCCTATCCCCAAACCCTAAACCCAACACCCTTAACCCTTAACCCTTAACCCTAAACCCTAAACCCTAAACCCTAAGCCCTAAACCCCAAACCCTAAACCCTAAACCCTAAACCCCAAAAGGAGCTGAACCTGCCGGCCTACAGATTCTCCATCTCGTGGTCGCGGCTTCTGCCCAAGGGCCGCGGGGAACCCAACCCAGAGGCCCCGCTCTGAGGGTTTCGGGAGGGTTTAGGGTTTAGGGTTTAGGGTTTAGGGTTTAGGGTTTAGGGTTTAGGGTTTAGGGTTTTGGGGGTGTGCATCGGTGGACGCGCAAAGGGTTGGTGTCGTGAGGATTCCGGGATGTTCCGACACTCAAGCGGTTTCCCGATTCCCGCACAGACTCCTTAAAATAGAGCCTCCAGGGTTTAGGGTTTAGGGTGTCAATAAGGGTTTAGGATAGCTTCTTCTTGAAGGTTCGTGCGTGGTTATACCTTGCAATATAAGTTAGGTAACCTACACTCTATCTAAGCTTAAGTAAGGTACGTCTATCTCTACTTATAACTACCTGTGGACCTTCAAGGGCCGTATAACACTAAACCTCAAAGCCTAAACCCTAAATCCTAAACCCTAAACCCTAAACCCAGCAAGTACCCTTACACAGCACTTCGAGAAGCCTCTTTTCATAAAGAACCGGACCCCACCTGGGAACTGCCCTCCCGAAGCTGCCCTCAATAATTGGGTTTAGGATTTGGGGTTTGGTTTAGGGTTTCGGATTTAGGGTTTAGGGTTTAGAGTTTAGGTTCGTTTTGAGAAAGCTTTGCGCTGCCCTGTGCCCCCGGAACTTTGACCTTAACAGAAGTGCACCATCTGGGATTTACTTCAACCATTTTACCCACAATCATAGTATTGCTGTCCTGTATACCCTTTGTTTTCGGAAGTCTTCTCTTCGGGGTACTTCTTTGGGAGGTCCAGGTTGGGGGTACCGAGGCCATCAAGTTCTACAGCAGCTTGCTAGACGAGCTCCACAAGAACAACATCAAGCCTCCAAGCTTCAAGGAGCATTCGCCCAGTCGGCGCAGTCTGCGGGTGTAGGGTTTGGGGCTGGAGCCTCTGCACCCCCACACCCTCGACAGGATGCTTTCTGGACTAGGGTTTAGGGCCTAGGGCTTTTAGGGTCCCGAGGTGAAGCAGCCTCTTGAACTTCCCACAAGCCCCCTTCAAGGGTTAAGAGTTTTCAGTTTTGAGCGCTTATGGTTCATTAGGGCTTAGGGTTAAGGGTTGAGGGGTTCAGCATCTCAAGTCGAAGGATTCCCTAGTCAAGCAGCTGATCATGTGACGTACCCATGGGGTCCCTTAAGATGAGGAGAATAATTTACCCCTACATATGGTTCCCCAAGCTCGCCCACGAATTTGCCCATGAATTGTCGATCCGCGCAGGCTTGCCCACGAATTGTTGACACTCTCCTACGAGGTGTCAACGTTTCGTAGGCAAGCACGAGAATTCGTGGGCCAGCCAGTCACATGTTTGTATGGGCCGGCAACCTGTTTTCGTAGGCGAGCAACAATAGTGCGTGCCCGCGAAAATGTTGCCGATTGCTGCTGCTGCTGCTGGCCATGGGCGTTCTAGGGTCTAGGAAGAACAAAACTCTGATACTCTACACCTTCAAGCCGTTTATGCCCCCTAAACCCCAAAACCAGCAAACCCCAAAATCCTAGAGCCCCTAAAGCCCCCAAAACCCTAAAATCCTAAAACCCTGAAACCCTAAAAACTCTCAAACCCTAAACCCCGAAAATCCTAAGAAGCTCTCAGAACAGAGGCCGTACGCCACCATCTACCACTGGGACCTGCCCCAGTGCCTGGAGGATGAGTACGGGGGTTGGCTCAGCCGGAAGGCGCCCGCAGGGTTTAGGGTTTAGGGTTTAGGGTTTAGGGTTTAGGGTTTAGGGTTTAGGCCTTTAGGGTTTAGGGTTTAGGGTTTAGCCACAGACCTCTCAGAATTGTGACTGCGCCACTGCCCCTGACTTTGCATGCCCCTAACTACGCGGCGAGCTCTGAATGCATCGAAAAGGGAAGTGGATGAGTCTGGAGGTTTCAGGTGTAGGGTCGATGTGGATGGTTCAGATGGCCAGTGCCCGTGTCTCCTTGGGAATCATGTTTGTTTAATCTTTCTTTTCATTTAGAGGGTTTCAGGGTTGGAGGGTTTTGGGATTTGCGATTTGAACCCAAGAGTTCTGAGCATGTGGCTGGTAATTCTGGGCCTACGAGTAGGTAGGCTCTTGGGACATTTTTTACTTTCTCTTATTGGGTTTCAGACAGTCATATTCTCAGGAACAGCGTTTTCAGGGGGTTTTAAGGGCCGTCCTAGCTGGGGGTTGAGGGTTTGAACCCTGGTCCCTAAACCCTAGACCCTTATACCCTAAACTTCAGTTAAACCCAAACCTGAGGGTTTGGGGCCCCTTTCGAACCCCAAACCCTTTAAACCCTAAACCCTAAACCCCAAACCCCAAACCCTAAACCCTAAACCCCAAACCCTAAACCCTAAACTCTAAACCCTAAACCCTTGAGTATGGGGAGGTCGTTGACGATTTCGAGCACTACGCAGCCACGTGCTTCAAATGCTTCGGGGACCGGTGCAAGTCCCGGCCCCAGCTTATCCCAACAGAGCCTGCACTTGGGGTTTAGGGTTTAGGGTTTAGTGTTTAGGGCTTAGGGCTTAGGGTTTAGGGCTAGGATTTAGGGTTGTGGCACACTCCGGCTTTGGCAGGCCAACGGGTCCACGAAAAGACTGGAAATGGGTGCGGGTTTACGACATCGGGGGTACCCTATTGGGGTCCTTATGACAAGGGATCCTACTACTTGGGGTCTATTTTGGGGGTCCCTATTGTCGTAAACCCCTAGAACTCCATACCTCCAGCCCCTACATGTACGAAACCTTTCGTAAGGCCCAAACTCCAGAGCCTCAATCCTAACCCCACCCCCCCCCCCCCCAAAAAAAAAAAAAAAAAGGATAAATAAATAAAAAATTAAAAAACACAAAAGCGGAACCAGTGTACCCCTGAACCCAAAACCCCTAAACCCCGAAACCCTGAGCCTAAACCCCGAAACCCTAAACCCTAAACGTGGAGGGCTTGGATCACTTTCAACGAGCCCTGGTGCTCCACTGTCTTGGGCTACGCCAACGGCGAGATGGCGCCTGGGAAGAAGGACAATGAGGGTTTAGGGTTTAGGGTTAGGGTTTAGGGTTTAGGGCAACCTTGAGCCTTATAAGCCCTGCACTTAGAACAGAGCAGACCCCCGAAAGCCCCACAAGCAGATCGGGATTCCAGCTCTAAACACTTCGCATCAGGGGACTAAAGGAAGGGCCCTTATAAGGGACCTAAAAGGCTATTTAGGGGTCATCTAGGGCCTACTTCGGTACACGGGGACTATATAAACCCCAAACCCCTAAACCCGAAACCCCAAACCCTAAACCCTGAACCCGAAACCCTAAACCCTAAACCCTAAACCTTAAACCCTATACCCCCAAATCGTAAAGCAGGAGAAACCAGAGACGGAGCCCTACATCGCGGCACACCACATCATCCTGAGCCATGCGCGGGCGGTGGCTCTGCTATCGGTGATTACGAAGCCCCTAAAAACTCGAACCCCTAAACCCGAAACATGCTGGACCCTAAGCCCTAAACCCTAAACCCTAAACCCTAAACCCTAAACCCTAAACCCTAAACCCTAAACCCTAAACCCTAAACCCTAAACCCTAAACCCTAAACCCTAAACCCTAAACCCTAAACCCTAAACCCTAAAAACCCTAAACCCTAAACCCTAAACCCTAAACCCTAAACCCTAAACCCTAAACCCTAAACCCTAAACCCTAAACCCTAAACCCTAAACCCTAAACCCTAAACCCTAAACCCTAAACCCTAAACCCTAACCCGAAACCCGAAACCCGAAACCCGAAGCCCGAAACCCGAAACATGAAACATGCTGGCGGCTCAGAGGGGTCGAGGTTTAGTTTAATCAGGATGCCGAGTATGGCCCAAATTATCAGGACGGGACTTTCGCCTCTGATTAAAACCCCACCTTTTAGGGTGGGGTTTAGGGCTGTTCATTACTTCAGAAGTTACGTGAACTTCTGTTGCTCTCATGCCTGTGGCCAACCAGCGGGTTGATTTTGCATCAAGCGTGACCCAACAACACTGTCCACATAATTATGCATATAGTACCTAGGGGAGGGGGGGGGGGAATTCTCATGAATGCACCCCAAAAGTGAGGAAAGCTCTAGGACGCAAGCTTTGAGGGCTGACTATTTATGTCAATGTGAGTTTACGAAAATAGGTGACCCTAAATATAGATCCCCAAATAGCAGGATCCCCTGATAATAAGGACCTCAATAAGGTAATCCCAAATTTCGGAAACGGGGTCGAACAATAACTAATAGCATTCCGTTATGGTCCCTTTGTAACTATACTACAATAGTGCCCCAAGCCCTGTGCGAATGATTAAGGCCCTATAGTGGCTAAAATGCCCTAAACCCTATACCCTAAACCCTAAACCTCATATAGCTATGTTGCCGCTGTGGGCTTGGGGCACAAAGGTGAAGAGATACCGCGAGGAGTTTAAGGCGAAGCAAGGAGGAGTGATCGGCATCACGCTCAACATGGACTGGAGGTGGGGTTTGCTCTGCAGCGTTTAGGGTTTAGGGTTTAGGGCTTAGGGCTGAGGGCTTAGGGTTTAGGGTTTAGGGCGTATACAGGGTTGCTGTAGTCTGCAGTTCCCTTGCTGGTTCCCCTTGGGGTTCTTTTTATTGTTATAAGAACTTTTCCCTTCATGGGTTCAAGAGGATCGTATTCAGGAATTCTTTTCTGGGGGCTCAAGGGGCCAAGCTAGCTTAGGAATTGTGTTTAGTGCTGCTTGTAAAGCAGCTCTTTATCATGTCTAAGGAGTCTAGTGCTTTGCCGCCAAATGGTGCATGGCATCCAATGTCCCGTAACACCAGCACAAAGCCCTAAGCCCTAAGCCCTAGCCCTAAACCCTAAACCCTAAACCCTAAACCCTAAACCCTAAACCCTAAACCCTAAACCCTAAACCCTAAACCAGGGTAAAAAGGGTCCAGATGAAGGTCATTATATAGGCTACCTCAAACCTCCGTATAGCTGCCCATGAGCCTTCAAGTATCTGCGCTTCCTGTGAGGCATCCACTCACAGAGGACGAGGGCGACACTGCGTCAGCCAAGAGCAGAGCTTTTGATAGTTGAGTTTTCTTCTCTTCCGGACATGTATGTATATACAGAAAGTGAGAAATTTCATAGGTGTGTGTGTGTGTGTGTGTGTGTGTATTTGTGTATAGCGAAAGTTTAGAGGTTTAGGGCTTACTTTGCAGGACGACCCTTAGCCCGTAACCTCGGAGATCGCTGGCCCCATCAGCCGCAGCATGTCCCAAAATGGGGCTCGCCCTAAGACACCCCAGAAAACTATGAGCCTTGTTATAGGAACTCCGCGCAAGGACTCCACCCCTGAATCCTCAACCCTAAACCCTAAACCCTAAACCCTAAACCCTAAACCCTAGACCCTAGACCCTAGACCCTAGACCCTAAACCTCAAGCCTTCAAGCCTTAAACCCCACTACGAAAGCCTTCAAGCTCCAAGACCTCCGTGGGCACCGGGAACGCAAAGGTTCAGGGTTCAGGGTTCAGGGTTTAGGGTTTAGGGTTCAGGGTTTAGGGTTTAGGGTTTAGGGTTTAGGGCTTACCCGAATCCCTCAACTCTTGTAAGGACAAGGCCGCGGCGCAGCGGGCTCTCGATTGGCAGCTGGGCTGGTTTGCGGACCCCATCTGGAAGGGCGACTACCCAGAGACTTGGCTTAGGGTTTAGGGTTTAGGTAGGGCTTAGGGTTTAGGGTTTAGGGTTTAGGGTCTAGGGTCTAGGGTCTAGGGTCTAGGGTTTGGGGTTCAGGGTCGTGGGTTTTGGGTTTGGGGTTTAGGTTCCAGGGCTCAGAGCGACTTGTATGGCCCGGCGGCATTGGGGAGCTGCTGAGTAGGTCACCTTTCACCTGTTTGGGTAGTATAAGCCTCCTTTGGGGTTTAGGGTTTAGGGTTTAGGGTTTAGGGCCCCCTTACCTAAACCCTGAACGCAAGAATTCATTCGGGGTTCGGCGAGCCGACGGCGGCTCGTCTAAGCCTGGAGCTTCGGTTTCAGGGTTCAGGGGGGGGGGGTTTCAAGGTTTGGAACTTGGGTGCGCGAGTTAGGGACCCTAAGCTTGAAACCCTAAACCCGTACTAAGCCCCAAGCCCAAGATCTTACCAGTAGGATTTGCGGTTTAGGGTCTTCTGCAACTCAGCGCCCGTTGCCTAGGCGAGCATGCGGAAGCGCTGCGGGGATCGACTACCTTCCTTCTCGGAGGAGGCGAGGGCTCCGTGGACCAAGGCATGTGCCTCAAGTCTTTCGGCTTCGGCACGAATTCAGGTTTGGGGGTTTAGGGTTTAGGGTTTAGGGCTTAGGGTTTAGGGTTTAGGGTTTAGGGCTGGGACATGCTTGGAGTGTGTCTGTGGCTTCAGCTGCATTCTGAGGAGTGCGACCTCCTGTGTCATAGGCGAAGTTGGCCTAACACACCTTGGCGACTTTGCCTGACAGATATACTCCTTATTATATGACCCCACCCGCCGACCTCGGGAGCCAAGGCAACCCAATACCCTGAAACCCAAGTCCTCACTTGAAAGCCCAAAGGCCCCAAGGAAGAACTCCAAGGGCGTTTGGGGTTTGCGGCCTACGGATTTGGGGCCCACCGCGCACAGGAGAAGCAGCTGATCAAGGGCACCTCCGAATTTTTCGGCTTGTGACCGGGCTGTTAGTTGAGGGCTTAGCTAGGGGCTTGCAGGGGCCGTGTGCTTGTGGTGAATCTCGTGCTGGAGTTTCTTACAAGTCGGAGATGCTTGAAGGTTGGCTCTCCAAGCCTGAAGCCCTAAGCGCCGAACTCCGAACCCTAAGGTCATTACGGGCTGGTTCTTCACCTAAATCACCGCGCATACTAAGGAACCACTACTCTACAGCATACGTGGCAGCACCCAAGGCGTGGATGATGTGTTGAGTGGCTGACACTGCCGAGGCCTTTCTTAACTGCCAGCCCTCCTGGGCCTGTGGCAGACCATCCGTAAGCAGAAGTTCTCAACCTCAAGCCAAGGTCCTTAACCCAAAGCCCGACAAGCCCTAAGCCCTGCAGCATGTCGCAGGGGCAGGCCAAGACCGTGTCGATGTGGGGGAACGTGCAAGCCGGCGGCTACTTCGATGACCAGGAGGTGGAGCTTATCGATGACCCACGGCACATCGACTGCAATTCCAGTTTGGAGATTGATGTAGGTCTGGTTTAGGGTTTGTGGGCCTTATACGGGTAAATGAACACTGCGAGGGGGTCAGCCAGCCTGGTATCTAAGCCTGAACACCTACCTCCGAGCATCACCAGTCCTTCAATCTTTTTCCAGTCAGCAGATGTCCCGTGGCCCAGGGCCTGTAGACAAGGATACCCTGGTGACGAAGAACAAGGGATCTACTCACCATTATGATTATTCCCCACAGACATGCAACTCGCCATGCTTAAGCCCTAAATCCTGAACCCCCAATTCCATGATTCCCGGGGCCCTTTGGTGCTCCTTAGGTGGGGGAGATCTGACATGGACTGGGGCGTGGTGCCCTGGGGCCTCAAGCACATGTGCGAGTACATCCAGCAGGAGTACAAGCCCGAAGGACTGTTGGGGTTTAGGGTTTAGGGTTCAAGCTGGGGATAGGGAGGGTTCAGGGTTTAGGGTTTGGGAGGAAGTTGGCATTCAGTCGTCTTGGCGTCGTGATGCGCGCCCGCGCATGCAGCACGATGCGTGAAGGAGGGATCTTAGTGACCGAGAATGGCTGCGCCTGTCCGGATGACGATGTCAACGTCGCGAAATTCGACAGCTTCCGAGTGGAGTTCTACCAAGGCAACTCAATCCCCAAACCCAAGTCCCTGAACCTAAACAGCCAAGCCCCGAAACCCCAACAGTGAAACCCCAACCACCGAACCCCCGAAGCCCCTTTGTGTAGGGTTCAGGGTTTAGGGTTTAGGGTTTAGGGTTTAGGGTTCAGGGTTTAGGGTTTAGGGTTTAGGGTTTAGGGCCACGTGGCATTTTGGAATGATTGCCTGCTGCAGGGTACATCGCCCAGATGCACAAGGCCATTGAAGCCGGAGCAGATGTGCTTTGGACTCTATTGGAAGCGCACAACCCTAAACCCTAAACAGCCCAAAGCCCAGAAGCCTTAACCTAAACCCTGAACCCTGAACCCTAAACCCTAAACCCGAAACCCGAAACCCCAAACCTCATCTAACCGAGGTGCGAGGCTACTTTGCTTGGTCCCTGATGGACAACTTCGAGTGGGCGCTCGGGTGCCCCGGCTGTCTCGGTCAAGTTACATATTGGATCTAGGGCTTAGGTTTCCAAAAGAAAAGGTTCAGAAGTTGGGGGTTCCTATACTAAGGATACAAGTCTGCTCGGGTTATATTCGGGGTACTCCTGTTTTGGAAAATGCCATGTCAATGACTGGTATCCACATTGAACAGAGCGCTCCTGTGGTTGAGAGTGACAAGATGCAATCCAGACTCCGACGCTGCTCTTTATTTGACAGGTACTCAAAGCGCTTCGGAATGGTGCACATCGATTACGAGACGCAGAAGAGGCGGTGGGTTTCATCTTGCACAGAGACAGTGGTTTCGCGTCTGAGTGTGTGAGGGGCATCAGGACTGATACACAGTGTTTCTACAGGATTCGGATGACAACCCTAAACCCTGCAACACTAAACCCCATAAACTCTGAACCATAAACCACCCACAAGAAGCAACACCTTAGCTTGAGACAGGACGCCCAAGCAGTCCGCGCTGCTCATCTCGGAGGTGGCGAAGTCGAACAAGCTGACTCTGCCGGAATCCACTTTGCAGGCCGCCCTTGTAACTTTTCGGGTTTACGGTTCATTGTGGTCGTTGGAAGGGCTTCAGGCAGCCTTGTAGTAGAGAGATGGGTTCATCTCACAACTATGTGGGGCAACTTCGTATGTCCTTCACAGTTAATTACGCTTGCCATTAACACTGCATACAGTGCAGCCTTCCGTTGATTCTTACTTTGCTGTTCAAAACTGAAGCCGGCAGCGACGAGCCCCAATTATCCCGACGCCAGTACCGGGGACCTAGCAGCAGTTTAAGGTTGGCTGCAGTTTAAGGTCGACTGTAAATGCCAAGAGAGCTCACAAAAACCACAAAATGGGTCAGCCTCGCCAGGTTCCGACACCGGCCTATTCAGTGTCTGTACTTTGCTGTAGGGTTCAGGGCTTAGGGTTGACCTCACCCGACACAGGAATCCGACTTCGTGATGATCGAGGAGGGTGCCGGGCGCAAGACGACGAAAGATGCACCTCCCGGTCAGAAGGAGGGCTGAGAGCAGCTTCTGCAGTGGCCTTGAGCCGTTCGGTCGAAGGTTTAGCGTAGTGTTTCGAGGCTAGGCTTTCGGGTTTTTTGGGCTAGAAGCAAGACCAGGCACGTGCTTGCATCGTTTTCATCCACGCAACCATGCTTCTCCAGGCACCCTTGCATGAGACATTGGTAGATTCAGGAGGCTGTTTGGGGGCAAGTATGGCTTGTTGGCGGTCACAGGTCTCACGCCCGAGGTCAAGCGGTGCAGATCTGTTCTTTTGACATGGGTGGCAAGATAAGACGTTTTGTCCTCCAAGATTCCGAGCTCTGCTGAACAGCAGTGCTATAGCTCTAGAAGATGCAAGCTTCTCACCTGACAGAAGCCCTCAGCATTCCAATGCTGAACAGGACCAGTATGTTTTGCCTAAGCAACCAGCTCGACAGCTAGATGTGGTGCGGACGAAACACGAGCCAAGCTGCACCCAGCAACACGACGTGAAACATGGATCCTGGAGTGACCCTTATAGGCCCAGATATGTGGAGCTTCTGCACATTCCACGCTTCTGAACTCTTATAAGCTGGTGCTTTGAGCAGCCTACCTAGGGATGCTGCTGTCGTGACTGTCCCGTGTCGAGCTGTGGCTCAAGATACCCAAGAGCTTGCAACCATTTGTTTAGTCATGGCCAGCACAATCTTCCAGCTGCCGCCTGCGTTTGTAGGTGAGCAGGCTGTGTATGGGCCAAATTATCGCGGAGGCCTCGCGCCTCCAGCGGATCACTGGGCCAAGACCGCCCATCCCATGGCCCCCTGGCCTCCCGGGCCACTCCAGCAGTTCCAGCAGCCACTCCAGCAGTGGTGCTGGGCACCAGCTTCCCCAGCGCCCCCACCCATCATGAGCTATGCCGTCGGGCAGGGGCTGTGCTACCAGCCTGCCCCGGCAACCGCCTGGATACCTTTGAACCAGGCACCATATGCACCCATGCCTCCACCCATATTCTATCCAATGCCATGCCCTCAATACCAGCCGGCAACTCCTGCCTGGACTCCCGCTCCCCAAGCACCCATGCCCATGCCTCCGCCACCACCGCCAGCGCACTTCCCACCACCACTCCCTCCCACGCAAGCGCCCCTGCAGGCACCCGCAGCACCGCCCACGGCACATCCGGCGCCCTCCAAGGAGCCAAGCACGTACAAGCCCCGCTGGGCAGACCTTTCGGAGGAGCCCCCAAAGTGGGATCTCACAGATGTCGCGACCTCCTCCCAGGAGCCCCTTCCCACGCTGCTTCCCCGCCCTCCACGTGGCCCGCAAGGGAAGGGGCGAGGGAAAGGATCAAAAGGTCACGGCAAGGGAAAGGGAACGAGAAAGTGGCGCCAGTAAGGGAAGAGTCTCGGCACAAGCATTCCTGCAGCCCTCTCTGAATGCACTCATGTCGCAGTGTTTTCACTCAGCATGAAGCATGAAGCATGAAGCAGCCATCTCGCGTAAGCTGACGCATTCCAGGACCTTGGCTGAAGCTACGCCAGAAGTCGCGGGCCACGGCGACGGCCCGATGCCTGAGAAGGGACGCAGTTCGAACGAGTCTGAAGTTTGAATCGTAGAAGAGGTGACAAAGCCCTCCCTCCGTCGATTGTTTCATCTGTGGACACTTCGCCTAGCGAAGGACTGCCGTCCGGGCACCCGCCAGAAATTGATGTGTCGCAGTTGTGAGACCCAGCTGATTGCAGCTGCAAGCCATTGCAAGCCCTACCTCCTACCCACACCCTCAAATGACCAGCATTCCTGCACATTGTTTATTTTGGGGCCGCAGTTTCTGGAGTTAGAATCGTAGAAGAGGTGACAAAGCCCTCCCTCCGTCGATTGTTTCATCTGTGGACACTTCGCCTAGCGAAGGACTGCCGTCCGGGCACCCGCCAGAAATTGATGTGTCGCAGTTGTGAGACCCAGCTCATTGCAGCTGCAAGCCATTGCAAGCCCTACCTCCTACCCACACCTCAAATGACTAGCATTCCTGCACATTGTTTATTTTGGGGCCGCAGTTTCTGGAGTTAGAATCGTAGAAGAGGTGACAAAGCCCTCCCTCCGTCGATTGTTTCATCTGTGGACACTTCGCCTAGCGAAGGACTGCCGTCCGGGCACCCTCCAGAAATTGATGTGTCGCAGTTGTGAGACCCAGCTCATTGCAGCTGCAAGCCATTGCAAGCCCTACCTCCTACCCACACAGTCAAATGACCAGCGTTCCTGCACATTGCTTATTTTGGGGCCGCAGTTTCTGGAGTTAGAATCGTAGAAGAGGTGACAAAGCCCTCCCTCCGTCGAATGTGTCATCATGTGGACACTTCGCCTAGCGAAGGACTGCCGTCCGGGCACCCGCCAGAAATTGATGTGTCGCAGTTGTGAGACCCAGCTGATTGTAGCTGCAAGCCATTGCAAGCCCTACCTCCTACCCACACCCTCAAATGACCAGCATTCCTGCACATTGTTTATTTTGGGGCCGCAGTTTCTGGAGTTAGAATCGTAGAAGAGGTGACAAAGCCCTCCCTCCGTCGATTGTTTCATCATGTGGACATTTCGCCTAGCGAAGGACTGCCGTCCGGGCACCCGCCAGAAATTGATGTGTCGCAGTGCTGAGACCCAGCTCATTGCAGCTTCAAGCCATTGCCCTACCTACTCGTACTTACACCCTCAAACCACCCACCCATGCTGGCCTACATTTCCTCTATTTTTTTGGGGGGCCGCAGGCTGTTGGGTCCTCCAACATTTCGCAGTCCCAGTCCCAAAAGAGAGCCCTGACGACTCGCTGTTCACGGGCTCAAGCCCCACAGCTCTTTTCATTGCCACTTGACCAGTGTGTGTCATATCTGCTCATTGCGCCTTGGCCGCATCTCGGTGGGTTTAAGGTAACTTAGGGTTTAGGGTTTTCGGGTTTAGGCCGCAGCTTTCAAACAGTCGCCGGCTGCAGAAACTGGGCAGTGTCTGAGCTGTTCCTGCACAAATGAACCCGGTCCAGTAACAGGAGAGGCAGCATCTGTGGCAGCAGGACGCGGACAGTCGTTTGTTTGCAGGGCGCACGCTTGCGTAACCCTAAATCCGCAACTTTCCCTTGGGACGCTCACCCGTGCTCTTCCAGCCCTCAATTTAGGCCCCCAGGCCCTAAGCCCCCAACGGCCGCCAGGAATTCAGTGGAGAAGCCCTCGCCTCAGAAAAGGATGAGGGTTTAGGGTTTGGAGTTTCGGGTTAAGGGTACGGTTAGGGTTGAGGGTTTAGGGAGCGAGCCCGCAAATGCTCGCGGAGCGGAGTACGAGGTTTGGGGGGCTTGAGGGTCTAGCTTTACGGTTTGTTTCTACACCACATTCAAGCCTATTTTCACACCCCTCCACACCTCTCCACCCCCCCGAAACCCCTGCTAAGCACCAGAAGCCGAAGAGCGGGTGTCGGAACTGAGCTTATGAGGACACCTGTGGGCTCTGTCTTGTATGCATTTGCCTGGCTACCCCGACCAAGACTGCTCTTAAATTCCAAAGCGCCCTTGAGCCTGAAAGGCCTGAGTGCAACGGCCCATGAAGCTTCAAGTATCCCTTGAGTGAGCTCCCATTTCTTTCTGAAGGTTCAACTTATAACATGGGTTGGGTTGCCTGACTTAAATCTCTTGAAATCTTGAAAGTACATGAAGTACCCATGAACCTAAGTAGGGCTACCATCATTAATCATTTTTTGTAATATCGGTTGCCTTATAACATTTGTAGCTACCCATGAACCTTCAAGTATCCCATGAGTGAGCTCCAATCTTTGTCCTAGGCCAACGCCACCGAGCTAACGCCACCGAGCTGCCATTGCCTGATGAGTGCTTGTTTTGCCTCAGAAGCAAGATCATGCACTTGTTCTTTCTTGCATACGCGTGCGCGCACTACGGATTTGTTTTTTGACGATGGGTGGCAAGATACGACGTTCTGTCCTTCAAGATTCCGAGCTCTGCTGAACAGCAGTCTTATAGCTCTGCAAAGCTGCAAGCTTCTCACCTGACAGAAGCCCTCAGCATTCCAATGCTGAACAGGAGCATTCCAATGCTGAACAGGGCCTACTAGGTTTTGCCTAAGCAACCAGCTCGACAGCTCGATGTGGTGTGGACGGAACGGTGCGAAGTCTGGATCATTGAGTGCCAAGATCTGTGGAGATTCTAGGCATTCTACCCCTTCTGAACTCCTATCAGCCCTAAACCCATTTCGGGAATGCCTGTAGGGGGTCCTGCTGTCGTGACTGTCCTGTGTCGAGCTGTGGCTCAAAGATGCGCAACAGCGTGTGTTTTGTGTCACCATCCTTCGGCATGTCAAGCACGATTTCTTCTAGCTGCCTGCCACCTGCCTTTGTAGGTGATCTAGGCTGTTTATGGCCTTCAGTATCGCGGAGGCCTCGCGCCTCCAGCTGGAGGCGCGAGGACTCCGCGAGATTGTGGGCCATACACAGCCTGGATCACTTTCAACGCGGCCTGGTGCTCCACTGTCTTGGGGCTACGCCAACGGCGAGGTGGCACTTCGGAACAACCAAAGTTTCGGGTTTAGGATTTAGGGTTCAGGGTTGAGGGGGCTTGAGTGGTTTCTTTCAGGTCTTCGAGTCCAAGTTGCTCAATCAACCCCACACACTGACGACTCCTTGATGAGTTTGGGTTAAGAAGGGACTCCTCTACATAACCCGTATATGTCGTATATAGTCCCTATATACCTAAGTAGCGCCTACATGGTGATTTCTCTACATTATGGTCCTCTTTGGGGGTCCTCAGGAACCCCCCCCTTATTTAGGGTACCCAAAAAGGGACCAAACTCATCGAGAACTAGCCACACATACGCCTGGGGTCCCTTGTAAGGGTCCTTCTGCCTTAGTCCCTGGATTGGGGACTGAGATGAGGTGCAGCACCGCTTGGGGCATTGGGCAACACAGCTTAGAGTTTAGGGGTTTTTCAAGGGGTTGGTTCAGCGTAAAGACAACGTCGAACCGTGCAGGTCAAGCGGATTAGGTTATAAGCCCTATAGGCCTTAAGGCCAGGGATCGGAGCAAGCCAGATGGGCGTAGTGAAAAACGAATCAGACCCCCGAAGGCCCCACAAGCAAATCGGGATCCAAGCTCTCGAAGCCTCCGTAAGTAAGGAGAAGCCAGAGACGGAGCCCTACATCGCGGCACACCACATCATCCGGAGCCACGCGCGGGCGGTGGCCGTGCTGTCAGGGATGTGTTTGAGGTACCTCCTGACCCCTCAAGCCTAAACTCCAAGCCCGTACTTAGTTTGGGGCTCAGAGTAGGGTCTTGTAGTCTCCCAAAAGATCAGGACGGGACTTTCGCATTGAAAACCCTACTTTTAGAGCAAGTAGACTCCAATGTTGCGCTGCAGCTCCTTTTTTTCTGCTAAGAGTGGGGTTTCGGGGTGTACAGACTCGGAGCATGGTCGCGTTAACTACTTCAGAAGTTACGTCAACTTCCGTTTCTCATGCCTATGGCCAACTAGCTGGTTGACAAAGGTAACAAGGGCGGCAGAAGTACACTTATCAAACTTTCGGCATTTCTGTGATGTCTCATACAAGGATCCCCTGTAGTTGAAGATACCTCGCATGAATGCCCAGACTTGGTGCACAGTTTAGGACGCAAGGTTTGTTTAGGCTGACTCTATACGAAGTAGGGTGTATATTTCTTGTACCCCCAAAGGACATCCAATATATACACTCACCAATATTAAAAAGGAACCTTATATACACTCACCAATAACAGTAATTTACAACCTAAAACCTAGAACCTAAACCCTAAACCCTAACCCTAAACCCTAAACCCTAAACCCTAAACCCTAAACCCTAAACCCTAAACCCTAAACCCGCATATAGCTAGTGTGTCGCTGTGGGCTTCGGGAACGAAGGTGACGAGATACCGCGGCGAGTTGAAGGCGAAGCAGGGCGAAGAGGTCGGCGTCACACTCGACATGGACTGGAGGTAGCTTGCTCTGCAGGGTTTAGGGTTTCGGGTTGCTGTAGTCTGTAGTTCCCTTACTGGGTAGCTCCTGAGGATGTTTCACTGTGCCCTTGCTTGGCTTAAGAGGATCATATTCCCGTTGCATTTTTTCGGAGGGTTTCTGGGGCCAACCTGGCTTAGGAATTGTGTCTTCTGCTCGCAGAAGCCCAATGGAGCATGCAATGCAACTTTTATCATGTCTAAGGAGAGTCTTCGTGCTTTGCCGCAAAAAATGGTGCATGGCGTCCAACATCCCGGAATCCGGAACACCAGCATAAAGCCCAAAACCCGAACCCCTAAACCGTAAACCCTCGATAAACCCTCACTCCTTGGCCCTACACTTAGGAATCCGACTTCGTGATGATCGAGGAGGGTGCCGGGCGCAAGACGACGAAAGATGCACCCGTCAGAAGAAGGGCTGAGAGCAGCTTCTGCGGTGGCCTATAGGGCGTTCGGTCTAGGGTTTAGTAGTGTTGAGTTTTTAGGCCTTAGCTCTTTTGGGCTAGGAGCAAGACCAGGCACGTGCTTGCATAGTTTTCATCCACGCAACCATGCTTGTCCATGCAACCTTGCATGAGACATTGGTAGATGCGGGAGGCAGTTTTTGCAAGTATGGCTTGTTGGCGGTCACATGTATCACGCCCGAGGTCAAACAGACCTGTTCTTTTGACATGGGTGGCGAGATAAGATGTTTTGTCCTCCAAGATTCCGAGCTCTGCTGAACAGCAGTGCTATGGCTCTACGAAGCTGCAAGCTTCTCACCTGACAGAAGCCCTCAGCATTTCCAGTGCTGAACAGGACCAGTAGGTTTTGCCTAAGCAACCAGCTCGACCGCTCGATGTGGCGTGGACGAAACACGAGCCAAGCTGCACCCAGCTGCACGGTGTGATGTCTGGATCATTGAGTGACCCTTATAGGCCCAGATATGTGGAGCTTCTGCACATTCCACGCTTCTGAACTCTCGTAAGCTGGTGTCACTTTGAGCAGCCTACGTAGGGACGCTGCTGTCGTAACTGTCCCGTGTCGAGCTGTGGCTCAAGATATCCAACAGCTTGTGACGTGCTTGACCATCATTTGCCATGGCCACCACGATGGTCCAGCATCGCGGAGGCCTCGCGCCTCCAGCGGATCATTGGGCCAAGACCGCCCTCGGCGCCCTGGCCGCCCGGGCCACTCCAGCAGGGCCCCTCCAGCAAGGGCCACTCCAGCAAGGGCCACTCCAGCAGGGGGCCACTCCAGCAGTGGTACTGGGCACCAGCTTCCCGAGCTATGCCGTTAACCGCCTGGATGCCTGTGAACCAGGCACCCTATGCACCCATGCCTCCACCCATATTCTATCCAATGCCATGCCCTCAAAACCAGCCGGCAACTCCTGCCTGGACTCCCGCTCCCCAAGCAGCGATGCCAATACCTCCGCCACCGCCACCAGCGCACTTCCCAGCACCACTCCCTCCCGTGCAAGCGCCTTTGCAGGCACCCGAAGCACCGCCCACGGCACATCCAGCATCCTCAAAGGAGCAAAACACACACAAGCCCCGGTGGGCAGACTTGTCGGAGGGGGCTCCTCCGATAAGTCTGCCCAGCGGGGCTTCTGTGTGCTTTGCTCGCTGTTCACGGGCTCAAGCCCCTCAGCTTTTTTCACCGCGGTCTGACCAGTGCCGGCCACATTTGCTTTATTGCACCTTGGCCGCATCTCGGCGGGTTTTGGGTTTGGGGCTTCGGGTTTAGGGTTGAGGGCAAGCCGCAACTGAAAACAATCGCCTGCTGCATCCTGCTGCAAAAACTAAGCAGCATACGAAGTCGGTATTAAGTGCGTCGCTATTTGTTCTACCGCGGACAGTCGTTTGTTGGCAGGGCGCACGCTCGCCAGCAGTTGCGCAACCCTCAATCCGCAACTCCCTTAGGGCGTTCACCCGTGCTCTTCAAGCCCCCCAACTAGGCCCGCCAGGCCCCAAGCCCCCAACTGCCGCCAGGAATCCAGTGGAGAAGCCCTCGCCTCAGAAAAGCATGAGGGTTTTGGGTTTGGAGTTTCGGATTACGGGCTTCGGTTGAGGGTTTCGGGAGCGAACGAGCGCCTTCAGGAGGGTTTGAGTTTAGGGCAACCCTTTTTTGGTGGGTCTAGCATTACGGGTTTGTTTCTACAACACATTCATCCCTGTTTCTACACCCCTACACCCCTCCACCTCCCCCCCTCCCCGACCCCTACTAAGCACCAGCAGTACGCGGCAGCTTCATGGACCCTAAACCCTAAACCCTAAACCCCGAAACCCTAAACCCTAAACCCTAAAACCTCAGCCGAAGTTTGATGGGAGGGCACCGGGCTCGGGCCGTTCGGTTTGAGGGGAGCGGCCTCGCAACCCTGCAGGTTCGACTTGTAGAAGAGGGACTCGACTTCCAGCTTGGGGCGTCTTCAAGACCGAAACACTAAGTCGAAAAAGGCCGGGTTCGGAACTAAGCTTGTGAATGGCACTTGTAGACCTGTCTTGTAGGCGCCTGGCCACCCTGACCAAAACTCCTCTCAAATTCCAAAGCGCCCTTGCGCCTAAAGGCCTGCGAGGTTTCGCGGTCGAGGTTCAACGCTCATCCGAACAGAACTGATCAAACCCACGATGAAGGGTTTTCAAGACTTCTTTCCCCTGCAACGAACCGTGAACCTGCAAGTATCCTTTGAGTGAGCTCCCATTTCTCACTAGAAGGTTCATTTTGTCATACAAGTTGGGTTGCCTGATTTATATCTCTAGTAGGTACCCATGAACCTAGGTAGGGTTCTAAGTACCTTTATTAAATTGATAGTACAGGTTGCCTTAGTTATAACATGTGTAGCTACCCATGAAACCTCAAGTATCCCAATCTTTGTCCGAGGCCAGATAGCGGCGCCGAGCTGCCATTGCCTGATGAGTGCTTGAAGTTGCCTCAGAAGTAAGATCATACACTCGCTTCAAAAATTCTCATCTACACACACACACACAAACGCACGCGGACACCTTACCCGAGGTCCAACAATGCAGATCTGTTCTGTTGACGATGGGTGGCAAGATAAGACGTTTTGTCCTCCAAGATTCCGAGCTCTGCTGCGAGCTCTGCTGAACGGCAGTGCTATAGCTCGACAAAGCTGCAAGCTTCTCACCTGACAGAAGCCCTCAGCATTTCCAGTGCTGAACAGGACCACTACGTTTTGCCTAAGCAGCCAGCTCGACCGCTCGATGTGGTGCGGACGAAACACGAGCCAAGCTGCACCCAGCTGCACGGTGTGATGTCTGGATCATTGAGTGACCCTTATAGGCCCAGATATGTGGAGCTTCTGCACATTCCACGCTTCTGAACTCTCTTACAGGCTAGTGTCACTTCGTGACTGTCCCGTGTCGAGCTGTGGCTCAAGACATCCAACAACTCGTGACGTGCTTGACCATTTATTTAGTCATGGCCACAACCATCGTTCAGCTGCCGCCTGCGTTTGTAGGTGAGCAGGCTGTTTATGGGCCAAACTATCGCGGAGGCCTCGCGCCTCCAGCGGATCACTGGGCCAAGACCGCCCATCCCATGGCCCCCTGGCCGCCCGGGCCACTCCAGCAGTTCCAGCAGTGGCCACTCCAGCAGTGTTACTGGGCGCCAGCTTCCCCAGTGCCCCCACCCATAATGAGCTATGCCGTTGGGCAGGGGCTGTGCTACCAGCCTGCCCCGGCAACCGCCTGGATGCCTGTGAACCAGGCACCGTATGCACCCATGCCTCCACCCATATTCTATCCAATGCCATGCCCTCAATACCAGCCGGCAACTCCTGCCTGGACTCCCGCTCCCCAAGCACCCATGCCCATGCCTCCGCCACCACCACCAGCGCACTTCCCACCACCACTCCCTCCCATGCAAGCGCCCTTGCAGGCTCCTGAAGCACCGCCCACGGCACATCCGGCGCCCTCCAAGGAGCCAAGCACGCACAAGCCCCGCTGGGCAGACCTTTCGGAGGAGCCCCCAAAGTGCGATATCACAGATGTCGCGACCTCCTCCCAGGAGCCCCTTCCCACGCTGCTTCCCCGCCCTCCACGTGGCCCGCAAGGGAAGGGGCGAGGGAAAGGATCAAAAGGTCACGGCAAGGGAAAGGGAACGAGAAAGTGGCGCCAGTAAGGGAGGAGTCTCGGCGCAAGCATTCCTGCAGGCCTCTCTGAATGCACTCATGTCGCAGTGTTTTCACTCAGCATGAAGCATGAAGCATGAAGCAGCCATCTTGCGTAAGCTGACGCATTCCAGGACCTTGGCTGAAGCTACGCCAGAAGTCGCGGGCCACGGCGACGGCCCGATGCCTGAGAAGGGACGCAGTTCGAACGAGTCTGAAGTTTGAATCGTAGAAGAGGTGACAAAGCCCTCCCTCCGTCGATTGTTTCATCTGTGGACACTTCGCCTAGCGAAGGACTGCCGTCCGGGCACCCGCCAGAAATTGATGTGTCGCAGTTGTGAGACCCAGCTCATTGCAGCTGCAAGCCATTGCAAGCCCTGCCTCCTACCCACATAGTCAAATGACCAGCGTTCCTGCACATTGCTTATTTTGGGGCCGCAGTTTCTGGAGCTAGAATCGTAGAAGAGGTGACAAAGCCCTCCCTCCGTCGATTGTTTCATCTGTGGACACTTCGCCTAGCGAAGGACTGCCGTCCGGGCACCCGCCAGAAATTGATGTGTCGCAGTTGTGAGACCCAGCTCATTGCAGCTGCAAGCCATTGCAAGCCCTGCCTCCTACCCACATAGTCAAATGACCAGCGTTCCTGCACATTGCTTATTTTGGGGCCGCAGTTTCTGGAGTTAGAATCGTAGAAGAGGTGACAAAGCCCTCCCTCCGTCGAATGTGTCATCATGTGGACACTTCGCCTAGCGAAGGACTGCCGTCCGGGCACCCGCCAGAAATTGATGTGTCGCAGTTGTGAGACCCAGCTGATTGTAGCTGCAAGCCATTGCAAGCCCTACCTCCTACCCACACCCTCAAATGACCAGCATTCCTGCACATTGTTTATTTTGGGGCCGCAGTTTCTGGAGTTAGAATCGTAGAAGAGGTGACAAAGCCCTCCCTCCGTCGATTGTCTCATCATGCATGAGGACACTTCGCCTAGCGAAGGACTGCCGTCCGGGCACCCGCCAGAAATTGATGTGTCGCAGTGCTGAGAACCCAGCTCATTGCAGCTGCAAGCCATTGCCCTACCTACTCGTACTTACACCCTCAAACCACCCATGCTGGCCTACATTTCCTCTATTTTTTTTGGGGCCGCAGGCTGTCGTTCCGTGTGATCGTGAGGCTCAGGCATCATGGCGCTGGGTCCTCCGGAGGGGTTCGCAGTCCCAGTCCCAAGAAAGAGCCCTGACGACTCGCTGTTCACG